ATTTTAGTAGACGGACGGCAAATTCTAGAAAAAGGTGGGATGAGGGGTTGTAGAATAAGACCCCCTGATTTCAAAAATACCCCCCTTTTTTCTAGCAACCCTATAGCTCTTATATAATTTGCTGTTAAAGTTTTCGTATAAACGATGAATAAGAAAGCAAAATAACATCAAACCTGGCGCTGCCAGACTGGAATTTTGAATAATAAAAGGGGATTTTTAATTCGGAATTATCATTTAGTAGAATTCTCCTTTCTGCGTAGGCGGCCTTTGGCCGCGCTTTAGGATTATAACCCATACCAAATAGAATTCTCCTTTTGGTGTGCAAAACTGGGGCTACCGCCCCAGTGATGTATCATTGGGAAAGGATAAGGTAACTAGAATTCCCTTTCTTTGAGGTAAACCTGTGGCTGCCGCCCCAGTGATATCTATTACGGTTATGATCAGGACTGAGACCCCTATCGACCCCAATATAAATTTTTCCAATCAGAGAAATGTACGTATTCTGCACGTGTTAAGCATTGCTTTCTTTATATGTATCGTTTTGTACAATATGGAAACACATGTTATGTGTCAGTTTGCAACCATTGCAGCGAGATCGTAAAAGCAAAATAGAGCGTAAAATTGAGAAGAAGTGAAAACTAGCAGAAAAAGTTATTGAACACAAAACTAGTAAAAAAGTGCAAGTGAATAGTTGTTGCACCGTTTTGATATTCTTCTGTAAACATTTTACTATTTATAAATCAGTTTTAAACTCTTGCTTCACACACAAGCACTTACACAGTCCAGTACATAATTAACGTTTTTATTTCCACTCATTTTACTTTTGTTTGTGCTAAACCAATTCAACAAATGGCGGCTTTTGACATTATTCTTCTTCTTCTTCTGCTAGCTAATTTCTGCTAGTAAACATTTCACTAGCAAGAATTTGCAGCTCTCCCGTGTTGTTACGCTCTCGATTCGGTGCTCTGTTGCACATTTTTTGGGTTATCATACACTTTTCCAGTAAAAATTTGCAGGTTCCAGTACAAATTAGTACTGACTATTGGTTTCTATACAAACCTATTGCAAATATGGGTGCAATTCAATGTAATTTACAAGTCAATAAAAGTTGAATAAAGTGATTTATATACAAGATAAAATAAAATAAAAGTGTGTAAAGTATTAAGTACAGTGTTATGTTCATTTATATATATGAAAGTATGTGACAAATGCACTTTTTGTTAAGGAAATCAAGTGGAACGACTTAAGAAATTTTAACAACACATAACTTATAAACAATGATATTGTTTATATTTTTTAGTTGTAATGTTTTGGAGGATACCTCCCTTAACATCCTGACCAAGTTTCATTTGTTAATTCCACCTGGTTTTCTTAAAACACAAGGTGCGGCTGTCTACTAAAGCCCATCCGTATTTTATTTTATTTTTTAACAATAATTCGCGTTTAACCATTTCACTACTTTTCTTCCTCAAAGTAAACAAGCAAACTAATCAAAATGGCTGTATTACCCGAACAGAAGGGTGCTACCACGTGTT